CCCCCCCCCCCCCCCCCCCCCCCCCCCCCCCCGACCAGCTGGGTTGGCTTGGCTGGGTCTCTTCTTGGCTTTGCTCACTTCTAGAAGGCCACAAGGCTAGCGGGAGCATCTGCATTGCAAACACAACCAACCTCAGACCTTCTTTCCTCTCCTGCCTAGGGACCTGCTTCCTTCTTTGTGACTCTCAAGCATGGTGGGCTCCTTCCTGGGGCTGCCCTGAGCTTGCATCCCACAGTAGGTGCGAGGCTTGGAGAAGCAGAGCCCAACCAGTGAGCTAGTGAAACAGAGGGCAGAATAAGGAGGCTTTGGAGACCAGGAAATTTCAAACACCGGATTTGCATATGCACTGAAAGTTACTTGATTCTGGTTGGGGAAGCTCAGCAGGAGGAGAGAGAGGATAAAGACAGGGAAGTGGGTGGGGGGAGGGATGAATGAATGATCGTATTTCCCTATTTCTGTGACAGTGTACCTGACAGGCCCAAAGGCCAGGCCTCAGCACAGTGAAATCAGCCAATTAATATTCAAATCCTTGAAAGGCCCTGGCCTGAAGATAAAACAAAGGCTTAGTGTCTGCCAGGTTCGGACCCTGGAGGCTGATGAGGAGCTCTGTCCCACTTCTGCAGGCGCGGTTGCTGACCTGAACAGTGTGGGGGTGAACCCTGACTGTCCTGCTCCTGTCACAGCCTAAGAGGGTGATAACCAAAAAATCTGCTCTGCCCAGGTCTGGGATAAGTCAGTAGTCACATCCACCTGTCCGGGAAAACGTTATAAGACCGTTTTTATGTAGAAGCAGACTTAATGGCACCAGAAAGCCATAAAATAACCCAGAAGGCTTAGTAACCCTTATGTAACCTAGTAACAATCCCAAATCTACACGCCATGTACAACCAATAGAAAACCCAATGAAGTAATTAGGCAGGGCTGTCTCACTCTCCTTTGATCCTTCCCCGCTCTTGTGATTATCAAATGCTAAAGTCCTCGGAACGCATTTCTCAGGGTGACCTGACTATGCATCTCCTGGTTGCAATTGTCATATTGGCTCAATAAATCCTTGCTATGTGTATTTGGCCTCAGTTTCTTTTTAGGTCAACATGGGAAACAGTGTTGAATATACACGGCCTGCATGTCCTTCTCCATGGGAGTGGCCTGAGCTTGCTGGATGGCTGGGGGTACTTGCTGTGTGGATACCCACGTGTGGTACAGATGAACTCTCTGTAACTTGCAGTTCAGATTCTCGCACCCATGACCGTTTATTAAGCATGAATCAAATTTCTAGGTGTTATAAGAGTGCAGAGGCCAACAAGACAAGGGTCTGCCCACATGGAGCCTAGAGCAGCGGCTCTATCTGGCTGCAGTCTCGGAGAGCCTTAAAAGACTGGTTGTAGGCAGGGCCCAGGCCCAGTGTCATAATGTCTTGAAACTGATCAGGTGATTCCAATGTACATCAGGGAAGAGCACCAGCAGCTTAGGATCTAGTGGAGAACAAACAGGCAGGAGGGGTGGAGGTGGAACAGGAGCTGGCAGTCGGGCTGGAGGCTCTGGGTGAACCTCGGGCCTGCTGATTGCTCTGAGCACAACCCCCCCATCCTTGGCCCATGAATGCATGCAGAAAATGACGATTCTGTGGACATCAGTGACCATACCAGGGACTCCCTGGAAGACCAGCCACACTCCGGGGGCTGAAGCCTGTCTCTCTTGTTAATAAATAAAAGTCATGAGAGGCCACTGTTTTAGACTGAGCTCCCGCACTAGGACCCAACAGACCAGACCAGACCAAACCAAAATGGAGTCACTCATGCTAAATGCCGCACAATCAAACCAAAACAGCAGACAGATCCCAAAACAGACTAGTTTTTCCTGAAAACAGGAGGTTCCTGTTTACCTGAGTCACTAGCACAACAAGGAAGTCCCTTCTGCTTTAACCCACACAAAAAAGTAACATGCAGTAACCTGATGTTAATCAGTCAGCTTTTCTCCTATTGTTCTGATTTCTTGTTCCCACCTCACAAAGCCCACTGTCCTTCTGCTGCCCAGTGGGAGCTCTTATTCTGCTTTATAGAACAGAGGCTGCAGGGATTCATGAATCACAAATAAAAGCCAATTAGCTCTATAACTAAATTTGTTGCAATGCTCATTCCTCAGGCTGGTCCAGTCGCTACCGATGTGGTCTCAGGACCCATGGGGCATGGACTCTGGTGTCCAGGAGGGAGGAAGGCTGGCAGGGACCTCAGGGAACATCTGAAGCCCATGGCTCCCCTGCATGGCACCTGCTTCCTGTTCTCCCACACTGGACCTACTGGGACATCACAGCTGGGCTGAGAACCTCTAATCTGGTTCAGCCTCCTGCAGCAGGTTCAGGAGGCAGGTTGTGGGGAG